AACACACACACACACACACACACACACACACACACACACACACACACACACACACACACTTTCTTTAACAAAGAAGTTACTGATTGGAAGTCAAAAGAGCAGCCACTTTGTTACTTCCTGAATCACACTTCCACTAAAGACCATCAGCTGTTGAAAGCCTGTATCCAGCCAATAAAACAAGACTCACACTAAGAGGGGATAGGAGATGGCACTAGTACGGGGTATGTGTCACCCATGACTAAGAAGAGTAAACATTCTAGAAGCCACTGATATATGGTACTGTACATGGTTAAAAGCTACACAATTCCCTAGCAGCACTGACACACTCCTTTCCCTGTGATTCTATTGATTTTGCATGTATTATGCTTGAATACCAGACTTTCACATTGTAATTATTCACAGTTATTAAACAGGGAGAGGGACTCCATTCTTAGGAAAGATTGAAGAGTTAAGTCATAAATAACTATAGTTTGACTGAAGGACAACTAAGACTGGAGGACAAACAGTGTGCACGCTATTTAAATGATGGAGACATCAAGGAGAGGGCAATCATTTAAGGCAGTTTACGAGACGTAGGTGGGCAACCAGGAGAGAAGATCAGGTGTCCCATCCTTCCCCCTTATCAATAAAAGCCTACTGCTACATCCTGGAACAGTTCCTCATGGAAAGCAGTTTAAGCCCTATCACCCAAGATTTAGACTGTTTTGAAGAAAAGAGTTATATTCCTGAGGGCATTCTGCACCAAAAAATTAAACATTCTGCACACAATATTTTAAAATTCTGCAAAATTTGTCAAATAAACATGGAGGCTCCAGCATGGCATTGGGGAGCACAGGCCACTGGCTGCACCGAGGTGGGAGATCACTGTGCAGTTTCCCCCAGGACATGGACTTAGAGGTGAGGCTGCACCCAACCCTGACACAGCACAAGGACTGGGCCTACCCCAGAAACATCTCAGGGCCCTACCCCTCTATGGCAGGTGCACCAGATGTGGGCAGACAGGCTCAGCAAGGCAGGATCCAAGTGTGAAGGGGCTTAGCATGGGGCAATCCAGGTGTGGTTGAGAGGGTTCTGTGTGGGGCAATCTGAGTGGGGGCAGCTCAGTGTGGGATCTGGATGCACAGTGGCTTGTTGGGGGGTTCTGGGTGCAATGGTAATGAAACTCAGAGGGGGTGGGTCTGACACAGCCCCGGATGCCGTGCAGGGGAAGAGGAAGTCCCGTCCTCCCCAGCCCAGACAGGACTAGCAGCTGAGCCCAGCGCAGAGTAGGAGCCACCAGCCGGGTCTTCCCCAGTCCTGCCCTCTGCCCCACAGTGATTTCCCCTCTCTGCCAGCTGCCCTGGGCATCTGAAACATACTGCTTGGGAGGGTTGCATGACTGATCTTGTGACTTCCCTTTGCTTCTCCCTCAGAAACTCATTTTTCTGCAGGGAAGCAAAGACATCTGTGAGGCTATAAATTCTGCGCATGCGCAGTAGCGCAGAATTCCCTGAGGAGTAATAGTTGCATATATACCATACTGTCAGGAACAACCATGCACTGGCAGAAAGATGGACTTGACCTAACAGAGCTTTTCCATCTCTACCTTGCATTAGTGTACGAGAGGAAATAGTTAATTCTGCTACCAATAGAGAACTTCACTACCAAGGAGTAGCTTTAGTGACAGCTTCAGTACAAATAGGTATGTACATTTTACTTTGAATAGATTAAATAGCCAAAACCCTTTCCCAAAGAGTTTATAACTTCAATCATATTAACATCAAAGGAGGATAAATGAAACAACAGTATGAAAGAACAATGGAGAAGGATGAGGGTCACAGTAAGAAATTAGACTTTTCTTAGGTATGCAACTGTTCTTGGCTCTTAACATTTATATGTATTAATATATGTCTATGGTCCAGGATATAGACTAGACTAGGAACGGTGGAGAGGAAATCAGCCTTGGAATGGTAACTCAACATGCCATATTTTTAAATGATTGCATTATAATCACTGAACAAGTGAAACAATTTTCTCACCAGCATTTTGTACAACGAGATGCTTTCCAGAGAAATTAAATATGTTTGTTCCATCCACCTGCTTGCTGCTGTGAAGCACTGTTTTCTCTGTACTGTTCTCCCTTCTCTCATGCAGTTCTCAGAAGGACTGGCAGATCTAGGCCAGTGAGCATCAGATAATTGTCAGAGAGCTGAATAGCTAGATAGCTAGCTGAACGCCAAAAAAAAAAAAAAAAAAACAGACAGACAGACTCGCTGGGAAGAAGCAAGACACAACTGAGTATGGGCATTCCAATTTCCCTGGGGGAAAAGATGGAAGGACGAGAGGAGTTTGGGTGGATTTAAGACCAGAATTAAAATGACATATAGCAACATTTCCTGTGATGCATTTCATAGAGTAATTGTAATGTGCTTTGTACAATTGTAGAAAATCAGTTTGTTAAGTAATTAATACTGGAGTGAGAATTCATAAAAATTGCTGGTGTTGATGGAGTTTATGTTGAACAAATACAAGTGGTGCATGTTTGGAGCAGAAAACTTTTTCCTCCCCATTGGACGCTACATCCATTTTGAGGCAAAATCAGTTTCTAAATCCTTCCTAAACAGACCACAGCCAGAGGTGGTCAGACATCCTTCTAGCTGGTAGAAATAATATCAAGACAAAATCCTGGTTCCACTAGAACTGACAAGCACTGGGACCATCCTAGCTAACTGTGACAATCACAATATGTTAGAACATCTGGTCAACCTGAAGATATTAAAATTTGTAGGTGGTAGGACACATGGGGAATGAAACCAGACAGCCACACTAGTCCCATTAAAGCAAGTTTATTTTCATCTTGTCTCCTTAATAAATACTGCACTTCTAGGAATTTTTCTTGTAACCGAGCAATGTCATTACTGCATGGAAGTCGGTGAATCAGAATGGGACATGATCGCATGAGGATCACTGTTTGAAAGCCACTGATAACAAGGAAATAAAACTGGTAGTTTAAAAACCTTACAATAAGGTGAACCTTTT